CCATTGAGTCTATGGGAACCAATTGAATATGCAGAAATAGGTACAATTGCGGTGTCACGGTATTGACACAAAGAAAAGCTAAAAACAAAACAGTACAGAGAAAGAAAATAAAGGGTTCCTAAATATATTCTATGGGAAAGGTGCTATGGTTGACAAGTTGTCTACTTTATTGCTTTAATGTCTATAACAACATTGTGAGGGAGAATTTTCTTCCCAATTTTAAAGATGAAGAATTTAACTCTCAGAGAGACACTCAGACTGTAAGTGGTGGTCTGACATTTGAGTGTATGTTTTTTTTCTGAATCCACACCCATGCTCTTTGACATACATGGAGTCAATTGCAGATGGCATATTCATCTCAATGGTAGGTGATTTACTTGACTGTCACTGAATAATGCTGAAGCATTTGAGAAATTAAATGTTGTTACATTAGATGTTCTATCTCCTGGACTAAGCATTACATTTTATTGTTAGTCTATTAGAACTCATTAAACATAATATATCCTTCCATTATTATTGAGGGCTCCCAAAAATACCTTCAGTGCTTTGCTTTTATTTAAAATGTTTGCTGTCTGTACACATACCAAATAATAATCTAATTAAGATGATCCAGTACACAATTAACCAAAAAGTTAGAATAGCCATAAAACATTAAATAAACATACAAATATGTGAATAATTTGGTCTGAAAATATGGAGAATATTTGTCTAACATTTGGAAAACATAAATTATATATTGGTATCACCTCAAATTTCACCTATTCAAAAGAGATAGTCTAACAATTCATATAATGAAATTTCCAATATTTAAGGTGAAATTTGATGAGAAAAATGTACACATTTATGTAGTAAATTGGTACCCAGGTTATCATCATTATGAATAGAATATTAATAGTATAGAATAGATATGAACCTAGGTATTTCTCCAAATCTCTTCATAGCTGCAATATCATGTATAGATGAAATTGTAGATTATCCAGATAAGGTAGTTTTATAAATTCTAGAAAGGAGAAAATAATAGCATGTTTTGTTTTATTTCATTTTTGTTCCATATAATGAAATAACTTTTAGATTTTGGCTAGACAGGTAACTAAGTAAGTACAAGCTTGTAGACTTAAGGTTGTAAATATATTAGACATTATTTGAATTTAGAATAGGGACATTTGGTTAAGAAGGATCTGATAAAAACAAACAGAACACCAGAGTGATTAATAAAGCCACAGCCATTATGTAAGTGACCTTTACAAAGGAAGGCATTAATTGTCTCCAGCTCTGTAGTCCTCTGATTCAGTACTGTCATTCCCAATGGCCTCAAGATGATTACATGCCTGAAGGACACATCGGTGGAAATATGGTCTCTTCCCTGACCAGAAAAAAAATGAATTGCCAAGACAAGTTTCTCACTCCCTTTTAGATTGTGCAGCATATCCCTAGCCTAGGGACCTGTCTCTTCTCCACTCTGTCCCACATCATTGACAATAGACCAGGGAAATGTGAGCAGCAGCAGCAGAACAAGTTTCACTGTTTGTTTATGTTTCTTGTCTTTGGGCACAACCAAAATGTAAGTATCTAAGTAAGATCTATAGTAATAATTATAGTCCAAGGAATAGCTTTCGGTGGGCATGAAGCTAATTAATAAGAATGTGTTAAGGTGGAAGTTAATTTACATATGTGTTAAGTGACATCCAACCATTAACCCTTATATATGACAGTTCTCAAGTTAATCAAACATCCCTTTTACAAAGCACAGAATTTGCAGGAGACAAATGTAATAAATAATAAAGTCATATTATATATATATATATATATATATATATATATATATATAAAAGCCTTGAAATCATAATCTCAAAATTATTTGTTATAACACTGCATACTTCCTATGCCTACAAGTAGTACTTATTATTTATCTTGTTGAAAATATTTAAAAATAAAAGTTTGCTTAAGAGGAAAATTTACTATGATTATTATTGTCCCCGTTATGGTTTGCAAAGCTGGTACCAGAACAAACGGCAATACAAAAGAAAGTTTACTCCTAGCATCTTGCTCATTTCCAAGCTCTTTTATACCCATATTTCTATTCAGGCTCCTACTGTGCTCTTTCCATTCTCACCCCAACCTTAGGAGTATTTCTCATCATTAAGTTACAAATTCATCTGTTCTTTATCGCATTCCTTCCCTTCTCTCTAGGAGATGATGAAATGAATGAAAATTATTTAGATCAAGTAGGTCAATAGGTTGACTATATATCATGCCACCATTTCTTGGTAACATATCTTTAATTAAAAACAGAACACTGTTTCTCAAAATTCTGTCATCAGAATCAGGGGAGGGTTCCTTAAAACACATGTTGATGGGCCCCACCACAAGAGTCTTGATCTATTGGGTCTCAGGTAAGGCCCTAAAATTTGCATTTCTAACAATACCCAGGTGTTGCTGATGCATTTGGTTACTTAAGAAACAAGTTAAAATTTTAATTCACTGGGACAGTTAAGTAGTGAGGTATTTAACTACTCAGCAGGTTTTCTATTTCCTTTTATATTTTATAAGATAGGACTAAAATTAGGGTCAACCGTCTAGCCCTATACTTAAAACCCTAAAATTGTTTTAAATTTTTATCAGCCTGCTTTGTATAGCATATAAACAAATAAGATAAAACAATTGTCTTTCCAAAATACAAAAATGTCTTATCTGAAGTGAATCGCAATGTTTCCCAGTTACTTTTACTAGGCTACCTAGCTAGAACACTTAGTTCTTTAAGATAGAACTATAGAGCAAATTTCTTTCCTAGTTACTCTTTCTATGAACAGTGAGGTGTCTCCTACCCTTCCTTATATATTCTTACACAAAAACAGAATCATGCTTACTGTGTGACTTCTGATTTTCAAATTTGGAGTTACACTATCTATTCTAATTACCAGTAAGAGCAATGATGCTAGACTGATGTTCACATGGAATTCTCAGCCATCTAATAAATATATTAAGATATCTGGACAATTTCCAAGTTGTCTAAATTTTCTGCCACTTATTTTATTGCACTTTTCTATATATTTCTTTATAAAGAAAAATTAATAACTCTTGAACAAAAATTTCTTTTTTGTTCTGAACAATCAATTCATTCTCTTAGCCACTTAGTTACTTGCTTCTACCACTGCACACACGGACAGACACACACACATATTATAAGACTTTCTGGCAGAATAGGGAATAATGTTCTTGAAATAATAGTGTTGCATTTTGGTATGACACAAGCTGTCACAATCATAAGCAATCGTGGTATGAGCTCACTCAATAAATAAGGTATGCTTAAATGTAGCATAATTTTGATTCAATGACTTTAAAAATGTTGTTAAACATAAAATATTAAATAATGTAAATGTAAAAATAAATAAGAGAGGTCTTTAAAGACTAATTTTCTGTATGAAAAGATTGTTCAAATAGCACATATTATGGAATAACAACATAACTCAAGTATTATAAAAAGTTCAAAAGAAATGTATTCATTTTTTCTTTAATATAAATAGAGGAAAACCATTTAATAAGCCATAATTCTTCCTATGCATGTTTTAACTGGATTATTATTATTTTTAGACTCTTAACTTGAATCATTCACTTTTTCTCTATTTCATTTCTAAAATTCTTCCTATCATTATGTCCATGCAAGTAGCAATTTAGTCAAAAACTCTACTCTTCAATAAGGAAATTATCTTTGAAAGGAAAGAACAAAAAAGTAAAATGTTAATGAAGGAATCTATAAATTCTGAACAATTTGCATTCACCATTATATCATCAATTCTATAAGCAATCATGTTGCAAATAAATAACATAATCAGTATTCCTTTCTTCATCCAAAATATCCAATTTTAGCTTCCATGTCTGGCTAACTATGAAGCTATTTCTAACTTCAAATGAAGCTATTTCTAACTTAAAATATTTTATATCCAATATAAATGAAAGAAACAATTTTAGTGACCTGACAATATCAATGTTAATTTTACTTGGTATTTTGAGGTAATACCTCTAAAAATTTTAATTTTCTAATGTCAAGAAACATTACCACTGAGTGGACTCAAACACACATAAAATCACTATGTATTTTGATGCAAAATATAGATCATATTAATTTAGGCTAAATTAATAGTTTAAACTCCTTTATCCCACTGTGAGGTGAAAATTAATTACTGATTAGCACTACTTGATTACAGGCACACACAGAAAAACTCATGATGAGAAATCTTGTACCAAACCTCCTATGATAGCCTATATCAGCTGTGAACTATATGGACTGAAAAGATATCTGCAGGATTGCCTGGACCAGCTTACAAAACAAATTCTTACAGAGTGCTGCGGGTTTTTTGTTTTGTTTTGTTTTTGTTTTGCAGCAAGACAATAAGTTTAGGTTGTTAGCAATTACCTCTTTCTAATCTTGGTGGGGAATCACTGATGATATTGAAACATTCTGAGAAAGAATTTCTGATGTCATTTAGTGAGTTACTGAATAAGACAAATCAAAACTAAATTAGTAAATCAAGGTACATTTTCCAAAAATAAGGGACTGTGCCAAAAACTAGATTAGTGGAACTAGATATAAAGGCTTATGTATTTACAGAGCTCTAACGAGAGTGAAGGTTGTGGTGTTATTTACTGCAGAGATTTGATGATTTGGTCCACTGTTCATCTGAGACCACCAAACACAGCATCCTTAAACCTGCTTCCTATCTCAGTTTCAGTCACTGAGCATTTCCTTAGAGTGTACTCCTGTTCGGCAGAGATACAGTATTACGGTACCTTTCAGACTGCACTTACAATATCTGCAAATAAAAGCAAGGGCACCACAAGGCATTATATTTCCCATAAAACGAATAAAGACTAACTATTTAAATGCTTTATCGCGTTTCTCAGTATAACACCTATTACAGTGGCCACACAGTGGCCATATGTGTATGTGTATTGCACTCTACTGATGAGAACATATCTGCAATTTTGTATATTTTTCCTACCTGTCAAATTCTTCAATCCAAGTTCTTGAAGTCCAAAGTTCCCATCTTTTCTGTAGTTTAAAAATACTGCCAAGGCATATCGATCCTCATAAAGTTTTGTCCCACGGATAATGCGTAAATTCTCCAGAGGCAGGTAACGAAACTGATTAAGAGCCACTAACACGTAGCCTGTGACTTCCCGAATAGACTGAAAAGACACAAACAATTACTTTTGTTAAAAAAAATTAGAGATCATCGGTATACTAATTTCTGCATTATATTATAAATAATTACCTTGATAATAGAAGAACACAAAAGGTTAGGATTTCATTTGAAGTATGAGTTGTATTCTTTAAAAAAAAAGTCATGAATGTGCTTATAGTAAAATAATAGATTTTGTTTTATCAAACATTCTTTATAGCTGGAATTTGAATTGAATATAATGAAAGGAGTAAATACCTCATTCTTTGACAGACTAAAATGAGGTAAGAGCACCTAGCTATCAACGAAACTTTTTAAAAAAAGCAGCAAACTCATAAACTTATCACAAATAAAATAAAGCTGCATTAGTAGGTAGACTATGGGACACATTTTAATCTGCTTTATTGGTGTTTAATGCTATCATATCAAAGACTGTTAACTTACCTGTCTCTGGGAAACACATATAAAAATAATATGTATTAAAGATTGATAATGATCTCTAATTACAACCACAATTTTTATTTTTACTATCTATTGTTTAACATAGTATAAGTTAATTACTTGAAGTTTTGTTGTATATTTTAAAGCAAAAAAAGTCATAGGCATCTGGGTGGCTCAGCTGGTTAAGCATCTGCTTTGGCTCAGGTTATGATCTCAGGGTTCTGGGATCCTGCTTCGTATTGGCATCCCTGTTCAGCAGGGAGCCTGCTTCTCCCCCTGCCCCTCCCCTTTGCTTGTGGTTTTTCTCTCTTTCAAATAGATAAGCAAAATCTTTTAAAAAATAAAGCAAAAAAGTCACAAGAAAAGCCCTTAGGTTTCATCTAAAATTATTAGTTTTTCAGTAAAATAAGTAAGATCGTGATAGCTACGAACATACGTATTAAGGTTTTTAAAAATTAAGTATAAAAATATAAATAATACAGAAGTGGTAAAATGTTTGATGTGATTTTAATGTCAATTTCATGCCAATTTAGACCTCTTAATTTCGAAGTCCCAATGCTTAGTCCTTGGCACTGGCTTTTCCATCCAGTCTCATTCTCTTGGTTACCTTATCCAGTTTCAAGGTTGATCTCCAAACTTTTATCTCCAACCTGTCCTCTAAACTCCACATTCCTATCTAACTGCCTGCCCCACATATTCACCTGAATACCTAAGAGACTTCTCAGATACACCGGTCCAAATCTGAACACTCATCTTTCTTGCCCCAATCTTCCAGCACCCTTTCTCTGATCCCAGTGAAGTCAATCCATTCTTCCTATTATTTAGGCCAAAGTATTGGGGTCATTCTTCACTCCCTTCTCACACACCAAATTCAATACATCCTATTTGTTTTATCTTTAAAATGATCAAGAATTCAACCACTTCTTATGTCAATCATTGCTGTCATTTGAGCCATCATCACCATCAGCATTTCGCTTATCACGATGACCACAATGGGTCTTTCTGTTTCTACTTCTTTTATTTTTTTAAATTTTTTTTAATTTATTTATTTATGATAGTCACAGAGAGAGAGAGAGAGAGGCAGAGACACAGGCAGAGGGAGAAGCAGGCTCCATGCACCGGGAGCCCGATATGGGATTCGATCCCGGGTCTCCAGGATGGCGCCCTGAGCCAAAGGCAGGCGCCAAACCGCTGCGCCACCCAGGGATCCCTGTTTCTACTTCTTTTGATCCCTGACCATGTATTCTAAGTTAAGGCTGGACCTGATTTTTTTTTTTTTAAGTAGGCTCCACCCCTGGCATGGAGCCCAATGTGCAGTACTTAAACCGATGACCCTGAGATTGAGATCTGAGATTAAGAGTTGGATGGTTAACTGACTGAACCACTCAGGTGCCCCTGGACCTGATCATTTTTATAAGTCAAATCATGACATTCAGAAGATCAGTTTTTAAAATCAAATCATGACACAGCAGTTCTCAAAAATTTGAAACATCTCCCAAATGACTCAAAGTAATACTTCTTTCACTGATGAGTCAAAATTTATCTGTTCTGCCCAATGCAGCAACATCTAGCCATATGTGGCCATGGAACAATTAAAATGTAGCTGGTATGAACTGAAATAAAATACACTCTGGATTTCAAAGATTATATGCTGAAATGATACAATTTCAGAAAAATTGAGTCATAAAATATAATATTAAAGTTAATTTTAAAAAAAACAAAAAAAATAAAGTTAATTTTAACCCTTCTTTGTTTTTATTATGGCTACATGGAAATTTAAAATTATATTTTTATGACTATCATTACATTTCTGTTGTACAGTGCAATACTCTATGACCTGGTCATCAGTTCTTTTTGTAACTTCTTTTTTTAACTCTCTCTCTTTCACACTCTATTCCAGCTTTACTGGTTTCCTTGTTCTTCTAATATGCTAAGTGTTGTCCTACCTCAAGGTGCTCACTTTTACTCCGAAAGACCTGAGTTTTTTTCCCTCTTGTTATCTTTTTTGGCTAATTTCCTCACTGACTTCAAGTTTTGTTTTGTTTAGTTTTTTTCCTTCTCAAATCTTACCTTCTCAATTGAAGCCAAGCTGACTGATGATCCTCCCACCTTCTCCTGCTCTAATTTTTATTGTGTCTGTAATACTTATCACCTTCTAATTTACCATATAGTATATACATTTATTACATTTAGTATTTATTACCTGTCTCTCCTTTTCTCAGAATATAAGTTCTGCAAGGGCAAGCATTTCAACTTGTTCACTCATGTCTCCTGTGATCACAACAGTACAGGCACATAGTGAGAAACCAAGAAATATTTGCTGAGCACTCTCGCTTTTCTCTGGCCATATCTTCACCAATAGGCAAAGGCTACAGAGCCAAGAGAAGTGCCCATCTGGAACCTGCATTCTTTTCCTCTATAGAAGACTCATGCTCCAGACCACTGTGATACTTGAATTTCATTCCCAAATTGCCCTAATCTCCCATCTAGAGCCCATGTTATCATCTTTCCAGTTCTGTCCCCGTCAGCAGACTGTGGATGCTGGATGTACAGGCTAGGTGTCCATTCATTCTGCTCAAAGCTTCCTAAGATACTGGACAGATCTGGTTAAAGGAGGGCTAAAGACTGGAGTCCATCTCTCTCCATGCCACCATACTCCTGAAGAGTTTAAAAACCCTAACACTTGACCTGACCATCCAAATTATTATAAAGATATTTCTGTCAAAGTGGGAGGATAGATATATTAATAAGTATTATTTGATTTATAATAAATAATAATGACATGGAATGTGACCTTCATTTATACTCTCATTCCAGGTCCTACAATTCTTAGAAAATGAACTTGCTGACACTAATTACTTAGAAAAGTAGAATCCTAATGGAGCAAAGGTAGACATGAAGGGTCAAGGAACCTATCCAACTATTCATGTCTGGCACTGGATTGGGAACTGTAAGCCACTATAGGCATTCCTGGAACACTGATCATTTTGGATTAAAGAGATGAATGATTGGGGAATATGAATAGAAAAAAAAAGAGGTGAAAGATCAACAGTAGCATGCATTGTTTGCATGCCACATTTGGTTGAAATTGCACTTGCTTGGAATAGTCTATCCCTAGAGCTCTACAAACCAATCACTGTTCCAATGGTTGAACTCTAATCCCTTTGTGTTCTTAGAAGAGAGATCAAAAACATTTTCCAATGTCATTTGGTCTAAAAAGTAAAATTCTTTTATTCATTATAAAGATCATTTATCCCTTAGGTTGCATATAACAATTATCAAGTGCTCTAAGTTACAATGATAACAAAAAGATAACCATTGGGGATAGAGAATGTATTATCTATCTTTTGTCTAGAGCATGTCATAGTAGCCATCATTCTTCCTAACACACTTACCATTAGCTCCAACTTCACTTGGGAATTGACTATAACTAATTTTTTTAAATTTTTTTTATTTATTTATGATAGTCCAGAGAGAGAGAGAGAGAGAGAGAGAGAGAGAGAGAGAGGCAGAGACACAGGCAGAGGGAGAAGCAGGCTCCATGCACCAGGAGCCCGATGTGGGATTCGATCCCGGGTCTCCAGGATCAGGCCCTGGGCCAAAGGCAGGCGCCAAACCACTGCGCCACCCAGGGATCCCTGGAAATTGACTATAATTAAGACTCTTAGAATGATTTTAAGAAATGAGGGCTCAACAGGGCTCAAAATACTTACTAGCTTTTATACGTACTGGCTTTGTAGACTTGTTAAAAATATTTACCTTCACTGAGCCTCAGTTTCTTTATCTTGAAATAAAAGATAGCAATAGCCCTATTAAAAGGATTTTATAAGGATTAGAAGATATAAGAAAAGTGTCTGGGGGCACCTGGGTGGCTCAGTAGGTTAAGCTTCTGACTCTTGATTTCGGCTCAGGTCATGATCTCAGTGTTCTGACATCGAGCCCTGCATCAGGTTCCAAGCTCAGCATGAAGCTGTGTGTCTCTCTCCCTCTGCTCTTTCTCCTTCTCTGTCTCTCTCTCTCTTTCAAATAAATAAAATCTTAAAAAAAATTACTATTTAAAGAAAAGTGTCTGGCAAATAGTAAGTGTTCAATAGATGCTATCTATTACAAATATTATTATTTCTGCTAATAGCCAAAACTACCTGCAGCTAATCTAATTTGAAAATAAAAATAATTATAAAATTATTACAGAAGAACCACTGCCTTTAGTCTCTTTGTTATGTAACCTTTCTATCTTTTTTATACCTTGCCTCTTCAGTTTGGAATTTATTCCTAAATTACAGAACTGGTTCCTGATACTGTTTCTTTGTATGTTATATAGCCTTTAGTACAGACTCTGGCACTGAACAGACATTCAATAATGGCTGTTGAATGAAGCTAGAATTGAAAAGTAGAAAACAATGCTTAAGGTCTTTTTAGATTTTGTTTTCCATTGAAAACGATTTTATGAACTTTCTGCTAATAAAAAACATTGTTTGAACAACATAATCATGACTTGTGCCCAAGGACCACAGTGGTAAGTAGAAATCATCAGAATGCCCCAACGAAAAGAAAATCCTGACTCTG